TGAGGAGTCCACAGGCGTATTATTAGGAGTCTTCGTGGGCTTTCGTAGAGTCAGAAGGGATAAGTGGAATCCATGGTGGTGGGAATTTGTGTACGCGAGATTAGATAAGAGAGATCGGGCCCTCCTACATGCTTATGACTATAACTACCTTGGCATGCCTTTTTCAGCTGTGAAAAAAGGTAAAGGCACGTCTTGGAAGTGTAGGACAAATGACATTATATGGGTGGAGGCTCTTGAACCTATGACTATGGAGGAGAGGACAGAGTGGATAGGGGATCAAGTCAGGCGGCCAGCTGCTACTTATCACAATCATTGCGCAGATTTTAACGAGCTGAGATGTGCATTTAATCTTCCTCCATTCTATTTTTAAGGCACGGGTAAGATATTGGAAGGAATCTATTTTTCTGGGGAACATTTATCAATGATTTTCAGTCAAGGGATGCCTCTTTCGCTTGATCAGACAGCCTGATCAGAATCATGCCAATCATGCTTCGTAGGCAGAAAAAATGGAACTCAAGGTCACGGAGCACTGTGACAATGATACAAAAGCATTTTACTCTTCAATCTTATACATTGTCTATGAAACAGACGAATCTTTTTTCCTTCTGTCGGGTAGAGTCATGAATGAGATCCAAGACGTAAGATTCAAGATAAAGATAAACCCGAAAGGTATCAACGAATACTTTGGTTATTCGAAATATAAGCGATAGGCCATTAATCGCGGAAGGATGAGACACTTTAGTGCACCTTTTTTACGTTCTCACTATGAGCTACATAGAAAGTATTTAGTTCGGTACCTCTCTATCATCAGTTTTAACTATCAGCCTTCAAGGTTAGAGACGAGCACGTTGCCGTATATTGTACTCTCTTTAATTTTACACAAATTCATCCAAACATGAAAATTGGAAAATCACCTAAATGGGACAGCGTGCATGTGCTGACTATGTATGATGCAAGTTGAAACGCACCAAGACAGCCGCATCGACCTGTTCATCCGGAAGACCTTAGTGCCACGCTGTCAAATAGAGGGCATGCATATATCTTTTGATCTTTCTCTTGACCATGTTAGAATTGCTACAACAGCAACGGGGATAACTTGAGCTCCTTTGAGGCTTGTTTGCGGCAAGAGCACCCACGACTACGCAACTAAGTAATGTGCTCAGTCAAGCTGTGAAAGAGGTTCAAAATAGGCGTGGGGGTGCTGTAGAGGTAGCATTGAGTGTTGATGACATGTGCGATTTTAAAACGCATGGAGAATGACCTCATCTCATACTAAAAAGCAGATTCTTCCGATAGCAACTCAACCCGTTAACATAGCAAATATAAAGAAGTTCACACGGCATATCTGCTATAGGCGGGCGCTTCTAATAACTATTCAAGAGAATGACAGACAGTGAGTTTTTGTAAAATGTGAAGAATGAAAAATGTAAGCAAGCTCTAGCGAAAGCTTAATAGTCCTGAAAATAGTTCCTAGATGATGACATGCACTTTAAGATTCTGTGCTACATCTCTTGGAATACTGGAGTTTGGGGGTCTTTGAGCAGAGCATTATACTCAGAGCATTATACTACAGTTGGCACTCGAACTTGGCTATTTAGAAACCATCCATCTCTATATCTTGTAATTTAGCTGGTTATTTTCTGAAGTGAATCTTACTGGCAGAGTGATTATGTCTAGCGTAGCGAAAAAAAAGTTTTATGCAGCAAAACAATAGCAAGCTCGTTCCTATTTCCATAGAATAGATGCCATAAGAATCACACAAATACACAAAATCCAATATCAATCTTCTGGAGATCGTATCCACCCAGGGATCCAAAAATTATACCAAACCTATCCAAAAATCAGAACGAGCAAAAACAGTATAGTAGGTGTGATAGCTCGAGTTAACCAGCTATCAAGCCTACTATTGAGAGATTATTGATATTCTGGAACTATATACCCCTTGACCATTTCTGTTTTAGATATTGCCCCACTTCTAAGATATTTTCGTGGGAGAGAGATTTATGCTATTGTTTCTGCATCTTGACTTGTGTCTATCTGCTTATGAGCCTCTTGTCTTGGGTATATCTTTTCGGGACTGTTTGTGATTAATTTCAACTCATTGTTACTGTCTATGAAGTTTAGGTTTTTAAAGAAATTCTGGGTCACTGCATAAGAATAAAATGTCATAAAATGGCCTCAATGACTCGACTGTCTTGGAGTGATGGAGGGGTCTAGATGACAGATATCACTAGCACGAACTTCTAAGCTCTGCTGTCTAAAGCATTGCTTTGATGTGAGTATTTAATGTTAGACAGGGTATGTTAGAGTTCTTATTCTCAAGTCATGTTGGTCAAAAGTGTCCAAGAATCAACCAAATTTACAGACAAATGTCCTGACCATTTATTATGAATATATAGAATCTAATCTGTGAGAGACTTTTGTAAAGCATTCAAATTGGAGCAGCTACATGAGCATGAAGAAGTCTTCATCAACTATTTGGATGAATACAAAAAAAACTGAAGACATAGATACCAACCAGGTAGGTAGATATTGAGATGTCTCTTACTTCAGCATCACAAGTACATAGGTATCTCCTCATAATTCACTTTCTCCCAACAAAAAGCTTGATAGGGCTTTTCATCCGATCATGTTAAATTAAAAATCTTGATCTCTGGATTTGAAAGTCTTCCCGAACCCGAAGGCCGAGCTCTAGCCTTGTTTGCCATTACCTACTTATATGTTGGATAAGGAACGATATATTTCAAGAAGCACACAATAAAATCGAAGAGAAACTAAAAGTCAAACTTGCATTATATCTCAATGAATTTTTACACAAAGATTAGATTCTTACCATCAAAGTTTCCTCTTCCTTCCAGTCCTTCAACATCTGCTCTTCTTCATTACCAGGTCCAAGTTTGCTGTCACCCGCAACAAACTTGGAATAGAAACTCCAACTCCAACTATCAAGCCTACTATACAAGTCTTCATGACTTCATCAACATGATACTCCTCAACATTATGGTCACAGATCCTCTCAGAGGCACCTCATTGAATCACGTCGATTCAATCGACCAGCATCAAAACGATCGACGCAATTCACAGGGAATGACATATCATTCTTCAATCTCGGCATTTTGGAATGGCAAACAGCTATCAAGCCTACTATACAAGTTTCCATTGCTCCTGTGCTGGAATTTCCTGGATCGCTCTAGGAAATCGTATGTACATCTTTCGTCCATAATGCATCATTACGCACAAACTGATTTCCGAATACAGCTTCAGCTATCAAGCCTACTATACTTCCGTTACGAGTTTAAGAGCTGCTCAACTCTGGTGCTTGATCTGGTGCAAATCGGACCAAGCACCAGAGTTGAGCGTTCATCTCAAGGTGCTTCGCCGTCTCGAAGACCGCATGCAGAGGAGACGGCGTCAAAACGAAATCAAGTTCACACACTGGGGGCGCGCTGACTGATGGCGAGCAAGATTGGGATGCTTTCAAAAAGATGATGTGGTGGGACTCGTTGTTTTGGTATGGATTTCTTTTCTGCTACTGTGATACTGTACGCTTTCAATAACTAACTTCGTGCTTTACTAGGAAATACTCTAGGAGCACCTATAAATTGAAGATTGTTGGTTTAACAGCTCGATTTCACTTCGAAACTCAGATAACGCCGTTCGAGATGGATAATAAGTGCAGGTTAAGCATTATTTATATCATACACAGGAATTTGTGGAGACTTGGATGTACACAAGACTTCAGAGGAGGATTATATATAGAGTTTCTCATCGCAATCAAAATCAAAACACTCTCAAAAACCCCACATTAATCTTTTCCAATCTCTCTGCAAACGTTACTAAATTGTGATCACACCTAAGAGCCTGTGATGTAAGCACGAAGCAGCCAGCAAATGTCACGTACCGAAATTTAGCACAGAGTCTCCATACAAAATTAAGCGAGATTTCATCATCATGCTGCACCTAGCTTGTAATCTTACCTCCCTACCTAGCCCTAACAAATTTCCCAATCTCCCTTTCAAATTGAAATCTTCCACCAGGAAAGAACCTTCATGGTATAGCAAATAAGTTTTGTTTCGACTACTTCCGCACAGTATCGTGAATCAGGATAGCTAACCGTGTGCTCCTATTTCCTTTCAGCAGGGATATTTCTAAACCACTACAAGACTGTATGAGATCTCCTGAGAAGCGCTCCCGATACCATTAATACCAAAAGCTCTACCGCGCACAAGAAAGCAAAAAGTGCACACATCTGCAAAGACTTCTACTTATCTTACAATGAGTCTAGTAAACAGACAGCGCCTTGTACCCTAAAAACAGCAGATACAAACCCCAATCTCGCAGACACAAAATCATCAACTCTCAATTACATGCCTGGACGTATATTGCGATTATTCTGACTACTTCAAAAGATTCCAGTTATTTTATGAGAATAGGAAAAAGCAGATTATCAGATACAAGAGTGTTAGACGTGATGGAAGCTGTATCGATATCTACGACTTTGAAATCTTGTATTCACTTCATGATGATTAATCCACATGCATTAATCTATACAGTATACACATATGGATCCGTCTAATTTCCGAGACCCATGGAGATCATCTCATACCAGATGAGCCTCGGGATGAACTCGAGTGAATAATATGTATAACATTTGAAGAAATTCGCAGGTGCATTATTCGCTCATATATAGGTAGACGCTGCGCTGCTGAAAAGATAGTCTGTACGATTAAATAGATACCTAAGTATCCATCTTGACTTCCGTAAATTACCTATTCTTGGCACACTTACCCCGCCACGTCAGCCTTGCATAGATGATCGAATCCCGCAAATGCATAAGCAGCATAACCGATATGTGCAGTCATCAGTACCAGAGATCTGGATTATCACTGGCATCCGCATTATACCCTGTGTTTGCAGCTATCCTAGCAAGGCGGGTTCTGCTGCAATGCTCAGTTCTAGGGGTCATCACATTCACAGCATGTTGCAAAGATGGGAGTATAGAGAGTTTTCTAGAATACTATATTATACATGGGAATTCCCACCATATTTGAGCATTTGCGCGCGCGACTCGTGAACTAAAGTTACAAAGTACAGGAGAGTCAATGGAAAATCCTTGTAGAGAAAACAGGTGATTCGAAAGCATCAACTATAGAAGTAAAGTAATTGAACCACCATCCGTTTCTAACTCCTCTTCTAATCATCACCGTGTATCATCTTTTATCAGAACTCGTAAAATCATCAAACATCATAACGCGTACCAAGCGGTCAGTTCTATCATAGCCCAGTTCGAAAAGTTCAAGTCGAGTTAGTTATAGAGTGACGTAGGTAAGAATGAGAAGATTGCTTAAGCAATTTTCTCGTTCTCTCTGTAAGCCAGAGTTGGCGATATTGCATCCTCGTCACCCTTTTCCATTGTCATCATAGAGCTGAAGATAAGAGTTAGCATTGGTCAAGAGAGCGGAAATGCAAAAATGGATAAGAACGTGAGTACATACACAAGATCTCCACGAGAGTTAGCAAGAGCAGTTTGGTCACTCGAAGAGTTCAAAGGTTCTCCCGAGCGGCCAGAAGCACGGTTGGTAAAACGTGAGCGGGTAGCAACAGAGAGAAATTCCCCAAGTGCCTTGCGACGAGCAATGAGTTGATCCATCCAGTCTTTTGGCTTTGGGCTACCATTCTCAGTGTAGTTTGAAGGATTTTGCATACGAGCAATCATCTCTGGGTGCATCTCAATCTCTGCCTTTTGATTATCGAAAGAGCGAGCCTTGAAGATCTTTTGAACAATCTGCCAGCAGCAAATGAGATTCCCGACCCAGATAGCAACTGAAGATTCGCGAATGTACCAAAGTTGATAAGTTGTTGTCAAAGGGCTAGAGAAGTTGTAATATCTGATGAACGGGTTAGTATTCAATCAAAACCTGAAATTTGGGGATAACCTACTTATTCAAGATGGCTGCAAGAATTGTGAAGACAGCGAGAGAAAAGACGCCCATCAAGATAGCTTTGCGCATAGGTGGAAGACGTGCAATATAAAACATCCAGAGTGGAATGAGGATCAAACCAAAATCTGAACTGATGTTGAAAGCCATTTGAACGATGGAATAATGCTGGTATGTCGCACATTGTTCATCTTGAACCGGAACTGCCCAGTATTGTTTGAATGGACGACAGACACCAACGTAGTAGACGAACATGATTACGACGTAGCCAATAGCAATGTAACCCATGAGGATCTTGAGTGCCATTTGCAAATTTGGAAGGTTGCGACTTGGAAGGAGTCAGCTTTGAAAGTGTGCTGAAGATAGAACAAATGATGAACTTACCAAAGACGCCACAAGAAGAGCCAAATGCAAACCTTGACGCACCAGGTGGAAGCAAGCATACATTGTTCAAGCGGAATGACAATGATAGAGCCATGAATGCGCGAAGCCACGTCGTCAGGGTCAGCCATGATTGAAGCCAGCTGCTCTGGAGGGAACAGATTGGTTTCATAACGAGCAGAAACGTTAATCAAAATTAAGAGCACTGTGTAGAAGCACTGCAAGTCTGTTAGATGTGAACTGTAACAAAGCGCAACATACGAATGATTAACGCCACTTACCATTGTGACACACATGAGCCAATCTTCAAATCTCATCTTGGCCATGACCCAGGTAGCATTGAGACTACAATAAACAACCACGTCAGTTAAATCATTACAACAACACTGAAATCTCTGAAACTGCTTCGAGAAGGGTAGAATATTGTACTTACATGCGGAAACCAAACAAGATGAAAGAAGGAATCACAAAACCAATGGTATTATGGAGGAGCTCAGAATTTGATGGAGAGACATCCCCACGGGGAACGATCAAAGGAGCCATCTTGACTCTCAGGTCCTGATAACTTGTGTTCTTTGGTGATTATTTGTTATGGTTATACACTGACTGAATTGGGGAAAGAAAAAGGTTGGTTGTTGTTTTGGATAGAAAGAAGTTTTTGAAAAGAAAACTTCTTTAATGGAAAGGTCACAACTCGGAGATGGAAGTGAAAAGAATTTGAAGTTGAAGTTGAAAGATAACCAATTGAATGTGAATGCGAATGTGAATATGTAAATTTGTAGATTGTGCCCCTCTTGGTGAATATCTCTCTTCCTCCTGTCCCAAAATTGACGCTAGTACCAACTTTAAATTTGACACTCCGGCTCCTTATGAAGTCGGCTGAGGGGAGGGGAAACACCAACATTCAAAAAAGATAAGAAGAGAAGAGAAATAGAGATGAAAGGTTCGTGAGAAGAGACAAATATCATCTGAAGAAGAAGTTTCTAAAACCCACAAGATGAAATTTGGCGTCTCACAACCTTATCCGATCTTGTCCTACTTTTTGATATATCGAATCTTCAGCGCTTGGCTCTCTGGATTGGCAAGCAAGCAATCAAGCAAGCACATACAATCTCGGACTCGAGACCTAAAGCTGCAAGCTGCCATCTTACTTCAACGTTGAGCAACAGACAATCTTAATGATGTTGTTATGCAGCCCTACTCTCCAGTTTAAGCTACCCCTCCCGTTCTGAAAGTTCTTAGAGTTCTCCGTTAAGTTACCATACCATTGCTGACCGGTTCAACGATTTTCTTTCTAGGATTGGCGCCACAAATTGAGATGCGGATCGTACCCTTTTCGACTTCACAGAATCTAACTCTTGATCATTGAACGGGAAATTGCATATTTTGCAAGGTTGCTATCCATGAATCATACGTTGAAGCTTGGCACGGCCGTGGAACATATCAAGACCAGTTCTGCAATGTTGCAGTAGTTGTGTAAGAAGAATATGCAACTACCCGCAATAAGTAAATTCTTTGGTTATTGTAGCGAGAGTCGTTGCTGACACACAAAAGGCTTTGTTGTCATCTTTAACAAGAGCGATTCTGCAAGGCAAGGGCATACTATCTAGATGCACCAAAGTTACGTACCTTTACATGATTTTTTACATGACCAAGTAAGCCTCTGGGTTCGCATTGCAGCGATCTACGAGACACAAGAGGATCCGATTGAGCGGAAGGCAGAGTTTGACAACGATCAAAATCTGGAGAGCTGGTAAAGTTTGTACTCTCTGGCACTACATGACTACGATACAGTAGCGCTGCTCTGGATCGCCGACCAAAGTACGGGATACCGATTATCCGAGACTAACATCCGGATTGCTCCTACGTTTGTCAAATTTGCACAGATAGGTATAAGGAAACACGTTAAGAACATTAAGAAACGTTTGGCATGCCAAAGTTTAGGGTCAGATTCTTGACTAGATTCTATGACCTTGGGAAGAAATATTTGGGAAGTTCACTGACAGCCGTCTAGCAATATTTATAACTCTAGCGCCATGCTCAATTCATCAATACCAGTTTTTTCATTCCTTCCTTTAATTGTATTATGCCACAGGGGTAATGTATGCCCTCAAGGCTGTCGTGGCATCACCGTCATGAGCCTTCAACAAGTCCGTGACCTTGATCTTTGTCAATTCGAGTTCCTCAACCTGCAGTAGAAATTTGATTAGCCTCGAGCACTAGGATCAAGTATCAAATTATAGCTACGAGGCAGCATTGATGAGGGGATAGGATAGGCAGAGTGTGATCAGTATAAGCAAATCAGACCGCAGTACTTAAGAGTTGGGGTGGCTAAGAACAAAGACTTTATCTTGGATAAAGAGGATTTAACTCAAATAAATGCTCAATAGCTGAGTTCTGCATATTAGAGTTAACATACCAATAAATTGACATCGGCCGCTTCAACCTTCACTATCTTCTTCACAACCTTTTTCTCGTCTCCCTTCTTTGCAAGCTTTCCATTCGTGGCGCTAGTGCCTGCCAACCTTTCCATAGCTTTCCTCACAGCCTCTTGATCTACCTCTTTCATCGCGGACGAGTCATCTTCGCGAGGGGCATCGAGAGAGGAGAGAGCAGCAGCAGCTTTACGATCTTCTGCCGACTTGGCCTTTTGAGGGATTTCATCATCTACATCGCCAGTAGTTGCACCTTCAACTAACGTAGGAGGTTGGGATTCGGACATTTTGATAACAGATAGATTCGCTGGTGGATGTTAATTGTTGTTTGAACTTTGCACAAGGGAGACAAGACTGTCAGAGTGACGTCTAAAAGGATCCAAGCACAATCATTGATTTAAGTTTAGGATTGGGGCTGCAAATCCCACACCTGTAGGGCTGATACTGGTTGACAGGCTTATATCGGAAAACTTGTTCCCCGACGGTAGCCTGATATAGCCTAATGCTCTGAGGAGGGGCTGAGGGGTACCCAACCACAAGCTCGGGCCAAGTGAAATAACCTTAAAGCCACACACTTTAATTTTTATTATTTGAACCCCTCCGCAAAACCATCACATCATTTCTCCAACGTTTTTTTTTTGTTATTTAGATCTAACTGGTTGTTGCATCACAGCTTAGAATAGCTTCATAATTTCCAATCTAGGAATATCATCATAGGACCCGATTCCTTCAAAATGCCAACCTTTGGTCCTGGAGCAGAATTGGGAATTGGTTATGATGGATCCCAAATGGCCAGACCCATTGACTCACATCACCAGGTTGAGCCATGGTCGCCAAGTTCTTGGACTACAAGACCGATCAAACAAGATGCAATATATGAAGACCGCAAGAATGTAGAGAAGTCATTATCGAAACTTCAACGTCTTCCTCCCATTGTTACTCCCACGGAAATCATTCAGCTCAAAGCAAGTTTACGGGATGTAGCTCTTGGCAAAGCATTTCTACTTCAAGGTGGTGATTGTGCTGAGCTATTCGACTACTGTGAGGAGAACGCTATTGAATCAAAGATAAAGCTCTTGCTTCAAATGAGTTTGGTTCTTGTCTGGGGAGCCAACAAGAAGGTAGTCAGAATTGCTAGAATGGCTGGGCAATATGCGAAGCCGAGATCAAGCCCCACGGAGATGGTAGATGGCAAGGAGACCCCATCTTTCAGAGGAGATATCTTGAATGGTTACGAAATTGATGAGAGAAACTTAGATCCACAGAGACTTGTTAGGTAAGCAGATACCTGTGGGGCTATCACGGTACTCGACTGACTCCCAGCAGTGCATACTTTCACTCCGCAGCTACTCTCAACTTCATTCGAGCATCTCTTTCATCTGGTATTGCAGACCTGCATAGCCCAATGAACTGGGGTCTTGGCCATGTTCGGGACCCAGGCTTGCAAGAGCAATACTCGAAAATTGTAGATTCTATCAGTGAGAGTTTACGTTTCATGCGTACCATTGGTGCAGATACAGCGGATCAACTTCGAGGGGTTGAGCTCTATACTAGTCACGAAGGTCTTCTACTTGAATATGAACAGAGCCTCACTCGACTTCTCAAAGACCCATCTCAAAACTTACAAGCCGGTGCAAACGCCGAAAAGAATGTCGATCCTACTAAGGATGGAAAGGCGTACTTCAATACATCAGCACACTTTCTTTGGATTGGTGACCGGACAAGACAAGTGGATGGGGCACATATTGAGTACTTTCGTGGTATAGCCAATCCTATCGGCGTCAAAGTAGGCCCTACAACTTCTTCCTCGGATCTTTTGGAGCTTCTTCGAAAACTCAACCCAACAGTAGAAGTTGGTAAAATAACACTCATCACTCGTTACGGGGCATCAAAAGTTCGCACACTTCTTCCCAAACATATTCGAACAGTTGAAGATAGCGAATATGCCCGAAGCGTCGTCTGGCAATGTGATCCAATGCACGGAAACACAAGATCCACTTCGACCGGCATCAAAACGAGACAATTCACAGATATCTTCTCCGAACTTCAAGAGACTTTGGCAGTCCACCAAGAAGAAGGAAGCTACCTTGGAGGTGTTCACCTTGAATTGACCGGTGATGCTGTGACAGAATGTACTGGCGGTAGCGAGGAGCTTGCCGAGGAGGATTTATCTTTGAACTACACCAGCTTTTGCGATCCAAGACTGAACGAAAAACAAGCACTAGAAATGGCCTTCTTAATTGCAGGTCATTTTCGTGAGGGACCGGCCAAAAATTAGATAAATGAATATCTAGTACACATGATTATCGTCTGCGCTGGAACGCTGAAATTACTGGTGACTGCATATCTTCTTTTCTTGTTTCCGATTTCTATCTCACCACTCATAGGATCTATGGATGCGAGCTTCCTGATTCTCCATATTCTCACTAAAGAATGCACGTTCGTGCTTCAGAATTTCCTGCCTCTTAATCCATGTCTATGGTGCCTAATCAATTTCAATCATTCACTGCACATCATCCTCAACATCATCATTGTCCGCGCCGACATTGCAGCTGTAAGTGCTGCTTCAAATGTTGTTATCGAGGCGGAACTGCTATCTGAAGTCTGCCAAGACGAAAGTATACTATCAATTGCCCGACTCCTGATATCGTAGCAGATCTTTCTTAGAAAGTCGCAGAATAATATCAGATGCTATCCGAAACAACCCCCCCCCCCAACGGGAGGTCCACTCTCTAGGGATACCAATCATGGTGGATCCACTGCGCGAGTGTGATAATGAGTTCCTTAAAGATATCGGATCCAATCATGTCCTAAGCCCAAGTGAAATAGTCCTATTCCAATGTTGTAAGAAATTTTCATGTAGTTAAAGTTGTTAAACATCAGACGTACCATATGCGCTACGCCTTCCAACAACATCAGTCCTACAAAAGGGTGACAATGATTGAGCACGGTGTTGTTAGCACTCCTGGTATGCAAATCATTCTCAGCGAAACATCATGTCTAATTGGTTTATTTTTAGTTGATACTGTCGTCAGTGTGTCGGCAGAGAGAATGGGCGCGCGCGGTACAATAAGCGGCCCAGAACTTCTGGAGATTTGTTCCGACATACTATCGTACACCTCATTGCAGAATTCTGCAATAGGTGAACCCCAAATTGCCATTCCTGGAGAATTACTAGGACGCTCTCATTGTTTTGATCAGAGTCCTGGAATTTCATGCTCGGATAGGTAGTCGTAGATGCATCTACTATACACAAGCGTTAAGCTCCTATGCAAAGAGTCTCAAGTTAGCTACTTTCACCCTTTCAAGTCTGGGCAAATCAACTTACTGCTTTTACGCTTATAGCCAGGATCCAATGTTCTGTCATGCGATGGAGAGGGATTTTGATGAGGGGCGCATTTTGTAGAAGCATTTGTCTTGGATGGGTTAACTCACCAACCTTATGAAATGATTTGAGAAATTTCCTCAAAGAGATGCTGGAATTGAAAAAGGATGTTTTATTCTTCCAAAAAGTTCAAGGCTGAATAAGATTAACATCCTCATTCTTGGAAATACTTTTGGAATCATTGTCTTGAGGCTGTCGAATCTCGGTCATGTCTTGATAAAAGATGAATAGCATCGTGCTTTATAGGCTATCACTGGTATAAACCAAAACTCTTGTGGGATACCGAGAAGAGCTGTATTCTTTACAGGACATGTTTGCAAATAAACCTAGGTAATTATATTGGATCAAGGGATAGATATCAGGATAACTGAATGTCGATCCAAAAAGCAGAGACTCGCAAGCCTTACGTGAGAAAGAGATCAAAAAAGTGCATTAGGAAATCTAATTTGCATTGTGTCAGGCCTAAAGATTTGTTGCGTTGGGGATCTTTATATGTCTTTGATTCCTGTTGAGAATGACGTGGATGATGAGGTTTGGAATGGTAGGGGAAATGGCATTTGGAACTATGTTTGATATTTATTACTTGTTGCTGCTACTGAGAATAAGTTGAAGAAGATCAAAGAAACTCATAGTGGTCTCTCCTTGGTTCCGTTCTATGGCTGCAACTTCGGTATGGAGCATATGAGTATATATTTGTGAGTTCTTGTTTGTTGTTTAAAATGTGTAGAATAAGATGATATATTTCTTGAAAGTTTGTGTTGATCATATCTATTTGTAGATCGGGCTTTCTCTTTTCAATACACATATGCTTTAATACCAGAGTTTTCCATGATTGATATGGATTGTGCTATGGCAAGCGTGCCTTTCTATTGCAGGCATTGTACATTATCGATATATCCACATTTATTCCAGCTATATATATACATGTAAAGTATTTAATCCTCCTCACAATTTCATTTGGTCAACACCATGCTTGAGCATTCTTCTTAAATACAGGTGCCGACAACACTATCAGTGCTATTCTTAATGTAAGAGTATAGAGGGTTAGAGGAACCGGCACACAGAACACCTTTAACAAACACACCTGCAACCAAGTCGGCGGCAATAGGAGAAGTATGAGTGTGGTCATTTGGATAATAGGTGTCAACAGTTGTAGCGCCAAGAACGGCGTACTGATTGGCGAGATATGTACCGTGGTCAATGAAGCTAGCCATGCTTCCAACGTTTTCCACAATAATCTTGCCATACCCGGTGAAACGAGGGGATGTGTATGAGCATTTACCTGTCTCGCATGTGTTATCTGGAGTGGGAGAGGAGATGATGACATGGGCGCCTTTCGCAGTCATGAGCTCGGTGGCATTGGTGAGATAGGTGGGGTATGTTTGAACGATCACACCGGCATCTGTGGTGCAGGTTTCGTTGCCAGCTCCGACGCAATCAGAGCGGCCGTTATCGGTGGGGGTAAGGGATCCTCCATCATTGTGTCCGAACTCAATGATGACGATGTCGCCGGATTTTATGGTATCAATGACGGCGCCAAAGCGATTTTCATCGGTGTAGGAACGGGCTGAGCGGCCGGCTTTGGCGTCATTGACGACGGGGATGGTCAGGGAATATGGGAGGTATACACCCCAACCTGTAGCCATCAGCTATATACACTATATGAAAATCTTGGTGAGTTATATCTACCTTGAGTTCCAGTTCCACCCCCACCGAGAGCCATTGTAGAATCACCACACATATACACTGTTGGAGATGCAGCTGATGCGGCAAGTACGACAGCGCTAGAAGCAACGATGCTTGAGGCCACAGAAGTAGCTGCAACGGTAGAGGTACTTGAGGACGAAGCTGTATCTTCAGAAGCGGCAGCTGATGAAGCGCTTGGAGGAGACCATGTTGGTCTTACATGTTCCCCGTTAGACTTGCCATATGCGTGATTGAATGGGACCGCAGAAACGGAAGCTGCCAAGGTGGCTAAGAAAAGGCCTGATGTAGTCTTCATGATCGCTTTCTACGATTGTTTGATTTGAGGGTTTAATTTTTCGTGTTTTATACTGAGAGGATAGTGATGAAGTAAAGGATAAAAAATCAAGCAGGTAGTTAACAAGAATAGAAGAGAACGAATGTAACCGGTAGAAGCAACAGAAATCGAATAAATAGCACAAAGAAGAAGCAAAGTCACCGAGTTCGAATAATGATAGACGGAGTGCAAAAAAGAGTACTTCGTCCTACCTTGGGTATATATTCAATTGCATTACCACCCACACAAGGAATCATGTTTCCGCTTGGAGAATCTTTAGATGAAGGAACAATAGTTCCTTTACCCATCGATGCCGTGCAAGTTTCCACCCCTCCTGTTTTTCCCATCAATAGACGAACATGTCTGTACCAAATCGGGCCAAGAGATCTAGATTATACGACGAGATCTCTCCTTATTGGTGACATTCTTCACGGAGATGCTCTAAACGAACCAAAATGACCGAAGCTAGGATCTCGACAACGATATTGACAAACAAGCTTACCAGAGAGAGGAATGTCGCTTGGATAATGTGGGTTTTAGATAGAACGAGATGGGATGGAAATGACAGTGGTTGAAACCTAAATTGTGAAAGATAGATTGTTTTAAATTAATGAGGGGACGGGCGCTTACTAGAACGGGAATCACATTAACTGGAAGGGGAATTTCTCACTTAATTAATGCCTGAGGCATAAACTTCTCGGAGGTTTTTGAATATCCCGAGTGTCCATGAGATGTTTGGATATGTTTTCAACAACGCAGAAGCATCGGATGAGTATTTGTGCAGTACCGGTAGATCTAAATGTTCAGCATAGAGTTTCGACGCTTGTGTTGAGGCCCCACGTAGTTTTTTCGTTCCTGGTTTGAAGGTGGAATGAAACTTTGCACCAGGCTCAAATTTACCTAAGGTTAGATGTTCCAGACGTATTTCGTCCCCCCTTCCCCCGCTTAAGTCTTACCCAGGTAGCAAACGGAATTTCATAGGAAGACCTAAGAGATCACACTAATAACTTTAAGCTAACCCTTGCATTTTCGTCCGAACCTTCTCTTTCTCATATCATCTTAACTTCACGATATTGTTCTTCTCTTTCAGATAATCCCTTCGATTGCCATAGTCACCTGCATTCAAAACAACAGGTTCTAAATAATAGTCTAGACTACTCAAATTCTTCAACCAATCATAATTGGATGGGATGTTGGAAAAACACGGTATTTTTCATCCACCTCGCTTCCTCGACCAAAATCTAGAAAGTGATAAAGGTACTTCGACTTTCGACAGTCAAGCCGAAGAGGTATAGTATTCAGAAAGAATACCGGGCAGACAACCCATATGGATCCATTCAAATTGGTTATAGCTAATGCTGTTGGAATAACTTAATTGTCGTGTGAGGAATAATCAATAAAACTTTGAGCAATGAGTCTAATTGTATCAATAGGACTAGAAAGTGATGATAACAAAAAAGGTGAGCATTATCACAAGATCCATTACTCTATAACTGAGAGTTCACAACAATAAACGCAGTTTCCAAGCTTTTGCCACTTTTCTCAAGTGCTTGAGAATACCACAGACATACAATCTCGAAGTACTAATCCGCTTTTTCCACCAATCATAACCATTACCCAATCCAATCCACACTGGGTGAGCTCATATTACTACCACATGCGCTATCATCGCAGGTGTGTAACAAGTGCCTACAGTCCTTCAGGCATTCCACTTTGTTTTTCCTTTGGATGCCCGTCACTGAATCATATATACCACTATGATCCGGTTTTGGTAACGAAGGAAATCTCGCTTGGATTTTCAACAGGCTTTCGCGCGCAGCGGAGATCCGCGGTGAAGACGAATTTCTCTTAGGAAGATACAAATTCAAATCTACTTGTGGAATGCTAGTATACTTATCCTGAATCAAAGATAGACTTTGCCGAGCTGACGACCTTGGTGCTGAGATAGTTTCTGATATGTCTGGAGATATCACAGGTTGGATGCTGTGGCTGGCTTTCTTGCCGTCCCTCAGATTACCGTGGGGGCTTGTGGGTGGCGATGGGATTGAACGTGTAACGGGATCTTTGCTACTGTTGCGAGTAGCAAGCGTCGACCAGAAGCTTGCTGGCTCCGCTCCGCTTTCTATGTTCAATTTAGGAAATGCGGCATCTTGTAGGTGTTTGAACCATGATTTTTTCCCTTCGCAGTGATTAGGTTCAGCCGACAAACAATCAAATATGGTGACTTTTCTCAGCTTGGACAACGTTTGTGAGCTCGCACATCTTCGAACACCTGTACATGACCCAAGCGAAGAACCAATTGCCGTGGCATTTCCAGAGCGAGCTGGTGCTTTGGGGTGTGCTTTAATGATACTTTTCTTTCGTTCTATACCAGCATCAGATTTTTGGCGTTTTGGAGCATCGGATTCGAAGTTATTCAACCACGAGCATACTCTATCCGGGGGGCTAATGGCAGTTTCGTTAAGCCACGAATTTCGCGTTATAGGTGTTGTCGCCATACCGCTTAACATGGGTGAACTTATCGCAGTTCGAGCATCGATTCCAATGCTGTAAAGAGAGTGAGATGGGTGGGCATTAATTCCTTTAGAAATTACGTCGCCCAAGAGCCGGGATTCACGAATGGGAATAGATATATCTGGGAGTGGGGAACGCCACTCATGGGTCGATTTTCTAGGAAGAGGAGGGAATGAAATTACATGATCTTTAGGCGATTCTTGTTCCGTAATTGTAATGAAATTGGCATCATCCCCATTCACGACCGGCTCACATTGCCAGGACCATTTGCTGATGGACATGCGAGCATCGGTGGGGTCAAAGGTGCCTTTATTCTTGCTAGTTCTATGCTCTTGATCGGGATTTTCTCGGTGATGAAAGCTCTTTCTTGTTTCGTCATGTCCAGGACTTGCAATATCGTCTTGATCTGTGCTGGGCTGACTAGAACACTTTGACTCGCCTTCGAAGTGAGCGTGGTCTCTCTCACTTAAATGCGATTCTTGTTGACTATGCTCCTCCCAAATCACTTCGTGCACACTTCCAGGATCTCCTTCTGACTGTCGGTCAAGCCGGCCAAAATTTGTTTGAGAAATTCCCAAAAAGTTATCCGGATTTCCTGAAATTTCTGGGTTCACAATGCATGTTGGGGAGTGGGGCAAATTAGGAGAAAATGTTCTGGCAGTAGAGTTGCCAAGTTGTGAGGTCTCTTTTGAGTTTTCCGATTGTGCTGCATGTATGTGAATTTCACAGGAAGAGGGACGCACTATAGGTACTACGCCTTTACTTGTGAAAGACATTGACGATAACCTGCTCCCACGCGGTGATTGATCTTGGCTCGAGCCATTCGCGGCTGAGACAGGCGGGCGACCTTCGGGTGTATGGAGTAGACCAGCTTGGAGCAATTCCATTACAGCTTCGACATCCTCTCGAGTGATGATATATGCCTCTGAATCTTGTGGTAGGTTCTCCGAGTAGGCTGGCTGGCGACTCGAAATAGAAGGTATGCCAGACATGGTCCCTGGTGTCGTCAAAAACGGTGAAGTTCCCATGTTGCTACTCATGTCGGATTTGTTGGATGCGCTGGGCCTTCTCAAGGTTATAGCAGATGGCTTTAGCATTTGAGTGTTTGTGATCTTGCGAATAGTCAACCTGTCGCGAAGAGAGCGTACCATGTCGTTATATCTGGCACCAGCAGTGAATGATGAACTTCTGTTTCGCTCATCAAGAGGATTGGAATCAAAGAAAGCATGTCGAGTTTTTGGGTTATTTCCTTGCACGTGTTGGCCGGAGTTAGGCTTGAGTAGCGGGCGAAGCTTAAGTTGGCGCGTGCCAATCTCAACTGAGCTCCATCTTCTCGATACAACTGGAGCGGCTGGTTCAGACATAAGCCTTCTCTTACCCATTCTCTTCGGTAGGCAATGATCCCTACGAGTGTTAGGTAAAATCGCACCTTCCAGGGCTGTTGGCGCGACCTGAGTTGGAGGAAGCCAGTGCGAGTTATAGTCCCGCTCCGCTGCAGCCATTTTCTTGGCCTCCCTTTTCAGTCCTTGGTCGCAGGTCCCTCTGCATCGACGCTTACGTTTCTTGCCCATACCCTCAGTGTTTCTTCTACCCTGCTTCTTAACCATTGTGAGACTTTCAGAGCTTAGTTTGCGTGGCTTGTATGGGGCAACTATTCGATCTCGAACTGAGGACATACTATCGGTGGTACATGAATACTCAAGTGAGCTAATATGGGAATTCTTTGGCGAGGAGGCCAGCATTGGACTTCCTTCTGTCGGCAATAAAGGCGATGCACTTGATGACACTAGATCGATCTCGCCATGACCGCCGCGCGATCGGCTTGGTGTAGAGGGATGTCGGCCTTCGAAATAATCATTTTGCAATGCATGCCGAGATATTGGAGCCGTACTGCAAGGCGATTTTTGTGGGTATTGTAATGAATAACCCTGTGGAGGTGTCCGAAGTCCAGGAATATCTGCAACACACAACTGTCGCGATCTGGGATTGAAAGATCGATCGCCACTGGCGACTTTCCGGCCCATTCCAGAAGGGACGCTCAATATGGAAGATGGAAGTGAAGTCGGAGCATTAGGTCGTAGGGGAGGTTTTTGAGAGGGTTGATCATCAGTGAGACTCCGTCTACTAGTCATATTTGAAGTAGTGATAGATGCTGCAATAGGGATAGAATTTGGAGCTTCGGGGTCAATAGGGTGTGTGGAAGATATCGTAAGATAGATATAATCACAGGTTATTTTGAAGCTAAGGATACGAAAATGATACAAGCAAGTAGAATGTCAGAAGCAGCATCAAACCTCCATATGTATACTGGAAGAAGATAAAATAATCAAGTTTGAGATAGCGGTAGAGAACGATGGTTTATCTGCATCTTAAGAAAGAACTACCGGCAGCCAAAGTTTTGTCGTGGGGAAGCCGCCATGATGAAGGCCACTACTAATGGCTCTTCTTCAGTATGAAACATGTTGCAT